ATATATGATTGACCATTAACAAACCATTGACCATATTGTCGTTGTCTTTTAGGTGCAAATGAATTAAAAGGATGTTGTTCAATAAGTGAACAATTATTTTTAACATTATTTAATAAATTAAACCAAGCATCTCTTTCATCATCTTTTTCAAATTTAATAATCATTGAACGTTGTAAATTTTTAATTCGAATACCATTATTTGTTCCAGTTTTTCTAAAACCTTGTTCAAGAGAAAATGTTCGATCAATAAGCATTGGAAATCCAACTAAAGCTGAATCAGGATTCATATAAACCATATAAGAATCTTTAAGGACAAACCATTTTTGTCCATGATGAAATTTACATTTATCACACATAAATGGAGCACGAAGAAATATTGATCGACCACGAAAATCATCATTCGATCGTTTAGCAATAGCACCTTCTTTTACACTTTTTCCTAAACCATGTACGAATGATAATGGACTCACTTCAAAAAATTCTCTCTAGTTTAAATATAAATATAAACATGAAATATTTTCTTAATTTCTTTCTTTCTTTTTCTTACCACAGCAATTTGTTCACGAAATTTTGGATGTTTTAAAACTTTATTTAAATAATTTTGTAAGGATTTCTATAAAATTGAATTCTCAATTGAAAATAAATAAATAAATAGAAGATGTAAACTTACACATCGTTCACTAACTGATGATTCATTAATAAATGCAATTCGATCATTATGAGTTGGAAAACATGGTTGATCATCTTGTTTTTTAATTAATGATTGATTTTCATCTTGATGTGTTATTACTTCGGATAATTGACTTCTTTTCAAATTAAAAATAGAACAAATAAAAATAAAATATATTTTAAGAAAATCTTTCTTACTTATTTAAACTACTCATTGATCGTCCAGTTTCAGTTTCAACATAACGAACAAGAGATTTATGAAGATCATGAAAATGTTTATAACGTTTCATTATTGTCCATTCATATTGGGGGCCATGACGAACTGTTATTGTATATCTAAATTGAAATTCATTTCTTTTTTTTTCAAATTTATTTTTAAATCAAAATACGTACAAATATGGATATAAAAATTCAGTAACAGGATTATATACTCGTTCTGCTTCAATTTTAGTAACTTCAACTGGTAATCCACGTACAAATGTTTTATTTCGTCTAGTATAAACTTGATCCAATGGACATTGATCATCTAGTTTTGAACAAGATCAATATTAAATAATATTAGCTTTTCTTTTTAACAATACCTTGACAAGGTGTATCAAGTTCTTCAACAAAATTCCAATCAGGATAAGGTAAATATTCTACATGTCGTTGATTTGCATTGCCTGAAAATTTACAATACAAATATTTTTAATGAAACAAAAAAAAACGAACAAATGTTTATGAAATATGATATTCTTATTATTATTCTATCGATGATTCATTTATTTTAAATAAGTCCCTCTCGATAATTATCTTATTGAATTGTAAATTAGCCGTTAGGAATAATATGTATACGTACTTGACGTTAAAGTCATGTCGACCATTTCGGCTGTATGTTTAACAAGACTATCTATGCCTGATGATGTATGTAATTGATTACTCATGGTTTGATTTTCTAATAAACAAGAAATTTATTAAATAAGAATTAAGAAATAAAATATTTAAGAAAACCTACTATTAATAATCGAAAAAGGAAGGACAAAACTAATAAAACCAAACTTATCTAGTAAACGATGTCGTTTTTCTTCTACTCTATTTTTTTGTTCTTTGGCCTTGCCATATTTCGTCGTAGAGAGACACGATACATTAAAGCTGTAACCAACCTCCGTCTATTTTGGCTTGAAGATGGAAAGAAAAAAAAGAAAAAAATACTGTTTTTTTTCTCTCTTTTCTTTCTATTCTCGACAGGGAATATGAAAGCACGTTGTATACACTATTTATTTACCACAAATAATAAAAATAAGCCGATTTACAATTTATCCTTTTTGACAATTACTAATCAAATGATTAATCAAAAAAATTTAAATAAAATAAAACTAAACTTATTAAAATTATAATTTTAATTTTTTTCTTCGAAATCTTTATTTCTCTATTGAATAGCTAATAACAAAAAGTCGTAGTTATTTTTCTATTTGCATAACGCATGTAATACAAGAGAAGATTGATAATGAAGACAGATATTTTATTTATGTTTTCTATTATAAGTAAATTACAGAGAACATAAACAACAAATACAAAAGACAATAATACGTTATTTCTCGGTCAAAAGAAATACTGTATATTACATATCTAATATAGAGAAATTTTTCAGTTAGATATATACCTCGTCTACAATGAAAAAATGAGTCACCTCTTTTGTTTTTATTTTTATTCTTCTATAAAATTCAATAGAGATTGATCAAGTAAATCATTGACGTATAGATTTTATTTTCTTATAATTAGAAATTAATATTTAATTTATTTAACGAGACATCTATGTTTTGATTGATTATTCTCCTACAAACTATATGAATTCATAGAATTTTATTTGATTGATATGAATCTTTGAAATTTTTCAATTTCTCAAATGGATCAAAACAAAAAAAACCGGAATAGACATTTTATTGTATAATTAAATAATTTCATTTATTTTATTGACAACTATTCTAATTATCACTTAAACTTATTGAAAATATTCCAATAACCTTTATTCGCATTCTCAATTGATATTATTCTTTATTTATGTAATATTGGATGAAGGCAATGACATTTTTCAACGATAGATTCTTTTTTCCTACAGAATTGTCTGGATAATATTACATTGATATATAGTGACAATTTATGTCGATTCTATATCTACCAGAAAATTTTTCGAGCTTCTCTACACATAATCTACTAGAAAAACAAGATATGGCAGAATAGAGTTAAAACTCTATAATCATTTAGTAAACAGTTTCCTAAAAAAATATAAAACATTGGTAAAGTTTATACGAATTGTGGTTCTGTTTTATGATAGTTCTATTTAAAATTCCAATCTCGTTTTCATCTGGGATTCTTTATAAAATTCTAATAAAAACGGAATAATAAGCCATAGAAAATTTGTTATTATCTTTTCTTTTTTGTGGAAAATTGTTTATCGATAAGAATTGTGAATTAGCAATAAGAACACTTGATAATACTTTTTTCATTATTCATCTTCCAATAACTATTACAATTAACTATTGGAACTAAATGAAAATCAATTAGTTCTCGATTAGAATAGATTTTATCTCTTGACGAAAATATTTGCATATATTAGAAAAAAAAGAAATCATTTCTATATCAACAATATTAGATATAAAATAGAGATTTATTTTTATTAGTTAACCATTCTGGTACTACTTTGAAAATAAATTCTTCTTTTTTTTTATTTCAAAGAATTTAATTTATGAAATTAGATAAATCATATTGTGATCATACTAGTAGAACATATATTTATCCAAATAAATTTGAAATCGGAATTATATTTCATATTTAGGTGTTTTTTTAGGAAATTAAATCATACATTCTTCAAAAATTGAAATAATTTTCCTCAACTAATTATTTATATTTAAAATAAATTTTTGATAATAAATACTTAAACATTATATCATATAGTTGATTATCCTTAACATGTTCGTCATAATTCAGTTTTCTTAGAAAACTTCTTCGAAATCAGTATATCTATGGAGAATTAGCTTTTAATAAATGTTCCCAGTGACCTTTTCATTTTCTTTCTTATATCACCACACAAATAATTATTTCTGATGGTCATGTAAACGACCTCTCACATTAGTTTCGTGTTCTACTATATGTTACAGATAGAATATACAAGATAAGACAACGAGATGTCTAGCCTTATCCCTCTCTCTCCTTTTATATATGGAAGTAACAAGAGTTCCAGTATGGTTCACAAGTCATTGGAACAAACTGATGCAAAAGAGAACGAGAGCTCACTCAATGAAGTAAACTGTTTCGATGGTGATTTTATAAAATGCACTTTAAACCTTTGAGTTCCAATGAACAAGTTACTGATAATTGAGTAGATATATACATTTGAAATTAAACGGAACTTATATGAGCATGGTATCATTTCAATAAAATCTTGTACAACATTTACTCGTTGATGTGTTATTTGAGAATTTGAAATCTATAGTTCGAAGAAAAACAACAATCTTTGTGCAATATCCATAGATGTTATATTCGCTACTTGAAAAAAAAAACTAGAAGAAGGGAATCATGGAACAACAAAGAAAAATCAAAGTTTCTGTTTTGATTGTTTTAATGAGAAGCATTGTACTATGTAATAGATGATTAAATAGTAACAGTGACAGAACAGATGTCACATTCTATATGCTTTCTGATTAGAATAATAAGTGTTTTTCTATTTAATTTCTTGTTAAAATAAAGTGACATCCATTGTATGAAATGTGTTAACTAATTCAAATCTTTGAAGAATGTTTTAGTTATGATCTTGTATATAATTTATGATATTGAATAAAAGACGTAATAAAAAGATTGCATAGTATTTCTATAAATAATCAATCTTTATCATGTGCTAAAAGTAGAGAAAACACATGATCAACAAGGAAAATCATGACTGAGAAAATAATGTATTGAAGAAACATGATTAAAATATTTAAAAATAGGAAGAAATGTTTTCCAAATATCATGACAAACTCCTACGTTAGATAACAAAGAAATAAACTATCAAAGAGAGAAAAAAAACGTCAAATATGTCTATGTCTATCCTATAGAATGACATGTCCGTGTACTTAGTCTGTTGAATAAAAGATAAAAAAAGAGAGAAAGAGAGAGAGAATGTGTGAACAAGAGAAAGTTAATGATAAACATATGAAAAAATAAAAAAGTATGATTTTTACTATTTAATATTTTGATTTAACGTAATAATAATTTGACAAGTAAAAGAAAGTTGAGTAAAGGTAAGATTTCTTTAGTATTTAAATACTTTCAAATAATAGTCGTTCTTACTTTAGAAGAGTAAAATCTAAAAAATGGCAACTAGTTTAGCATTTAATTCATATGAAAATGATGATCATACACGTTTATTAGATAATTATCGTTATTTAGCTGA